ACAACGAGGTGTGTACATATTTCTTTTAAATATAATACATACATACATACGTACATAACTTCACGCCTGTCTCCCATGGGGGTAGGCAGAGACAATAGAACGCCAATTGCTACGATTCTTACATAACACATTATACCTATGTATTGCGTTTTAAGCTAGCCCATCTGATACAGCAAATAAATCTACCAGGCGCTCCAAACGGGCTTATAAGAAGATGTTTTTGATAATACGAGCACCTACATTTTATATTTGACTACTATTATGACGCAAAAAAATGTAGGTATAAAAAACTAGTCGTATTTTGTAAAAATCCATATCGTTTTCCTGTTAATTAAAACTAGATATCAACACAATTAAACTTTGTACTCGGCTACTTACTATTGTTTTTTGTTAATCAGATAACAGCGTTTTTGCTGAAATAAAGAACAAAAGTTGTAGTTTTCATGACATTCTAATAAGCCTTTTATGAAGTCTAGTATTTCCACAAACGGGAGAAACTTCAAACGTCAACAGTTCGGGTCCAATCTCCGAAGATCCGAACATCAAATCACCAGGATGACAGGACCTTACTATATTCCCTTTATGTACCCAACAGTACAAATTGGAATTGGGCTTCATAAAAGTGACAAGGCCACCTAATATTGTTTGGTAATAATTCCATCTTTAGTGAACTTATGCCCTTTGTGTGTCTTACCGGCTTTGTTCTATCGGGGATCTCGCCTAGACAGTTACTGGCCCAAATTCCCAAGGGCTTCGGTCTTTTATATTGTCATTGAATAATACGCAATTAGGACAAGGATATATATTGGACAGGAGTCATCCAGACGAGCGAAATGTGGAACGACTGCTCATTACCAGCCCTCTGAATATTCATGTTCCCGTTTACCGTCGCGACGCAACGCAAATCGGTCGTGAAGTATTCACAAAATACCCACAGGGAAACATGTTTTTTGTCTGTCTGTTTCTCGTGACTTGTTATTTACTACCCACATCTAACGTTGACGTCTTTCACTAAGAGCAAAGTGCTGCTTCCAAAAGGAATTGATGCAAAACTAATGAGCACACAAATTGCTATTGAAACTTTTTCCCAGTTCTCGTTTGCAAACTACGTGGGAGGACGAACGTATACAATCCGAGATATGTACGCTGTGGATCGCACACTTTGACCTTTCCTCACAGGCTTGCATTTAACAAACATGGAATGCATGTGAGTTTCGATTCTCTCAGTCCCAAGGACCGCTCCCGAAATCGTGACATCGATTAGACGCGAACGGCGCACAGTAATCGAGTAACACGATTACGAAACTATAAAATATTATGGAGTTAAGTTACGTTACGTAGGTATTTCGAGTTGCGAATTGCCGTTCGCCGAGCGGCGTGTCGTAGTGCCGCGCGCCGCCGCCGGCCAGTGCCGCCAGTGAGCCAGTGCCGTGCCGACCGCCGCGCGAATCACTCGCACGCCGTGCAGCGCGCTCACGTTCGCGACTCGACTCGTGCTACCCTGTGTACCTGTGCCCTGTGTTATACCCCTGAAAGTACGTAAACAAAACACACTAACTTACCTGTGAAAGTGCGGTCCGGATTTATATTGGAGCGGCATCAAACGCGTGCGTATTGCTTGTTTGTTGCGAGTGATAGAATCTGTTGCATTCTGCAGGTGCTTGCTTGTTCTTTATTAATTGAAAAGTGATTGTAAAGCGGTCACGGCCGAGGCACACATGTCCGGCCCAGTTTTCACGATCGTTGCCTCTGTCTCAAACGAATTCCATGGCTTGCTTGCTTTTCTTTGTTTACCGCCGGGAGATGTTGTTGGTGCGGCTTGCACTTGTTGATTCGACCCGAACTGCGGCGCTGCTCATTCAGATTTGTTTCGGCATCCGACGAACTGTTTCCCATTCGATTTTGGCACCAAAAACTAATATTACGCATGAATGGTTCTGATGCCAGGAGATTGTTACCAAAACATTACTTTGATTGCCATATGTGATGAAATGAGATCGATATGAACCATTTCTCACGATTGCTTTTAAAAAAAATATTATTCAAGTTATTCGTTATGTTTAGGAATAATATTTAGGAACAGTATTTGAGTATAACATCGCGATGTTAAAAAAAGGATCTTCCGAAAAACTAATTACAAAATATAGGAAATGTGATTATTCTGGAAATATGATAACATATTGCCGAACCCCGCAACAGATAAAACTTCCAAATCCGAAAATGCATAGTTTTAATTCTTGTTCAATAATATTTAGGGCTGGTTCGCAACAAGAAAGGAGGGCTAGAATCTTATGAAAATATGACTAAAACAAAAGTAGATTATCGTGATGGAACTAGCGTTTGTAACAGACACACCGCAGCGACAAAAACAGAATTTATTAGAAAACCGGCTGCGTATTTCATTCACACTTACAAAAACTGACGCAGTAAAGAAAATTGACGGTTGTCGTTGTCCGTTCTCTTTTTTGTTCATATTTCCATTGAACTTGAACTTTGAATATGCCTAAAATAGTGTACAAAAGCTAGATTGTTATCATTCTGCAATTGCCATTCTGTAATAGCAGTGGATTTTTCAATTCTACGCATTTAATGATGTGGATTTTATTTCATATTATTGCGTTTTCCGACTGACATGAACCTTGTAACTAGTTTCAACGAAAATGATTTCACTTGATTCTTAGAATCTTTGAGTTACAGATTGATTATATCGTGCATTCAGTAGACTTAAATTGTTTGATTATATTTCATCTGTAAGTAGCTATAGTAAACTGTTTTATGGACTTTGAGCTCGATTACCTAATATTATTAGTGTAATTCGTATTTTTCCACGATGAAAAATTGCTTCCAATTCTGTCCTTTTATAGCAATGTCGATTACACTTCATGATTACGATAGAGTGATGTGGAACAAATAAATCGATTATAATATGGATCGAAAGCGAACGATTTACAACGACCGAACGATTATACTGTGCAAAATATTTAATATAACTCTGATAGTGAAATGTTTTGTTTTAATAAAATTATTGGAATAGAATTTAACAATAACCATGAATAATTTAATTCAATATGCAGGTGACGATATCCGTTCAGATCGTAGAAAGTCTTGCATGGTTACATTGGATGAAACTTTGTAAAAGGATTATCACAAACAAAAATGAAACGTAGACACTATAAACAAATTAAATGTTAGAATAATTATTCAAAATAAGATCAAAACTATAAAAGAGGCTACAAATTATGAAACAATAAACAGAAGAAACAAAATTCCTATTGACAGCTGGGGGAAATGAATCATGAAATCTTCGATCAACAATAACAACTAGATATCGGGTCGGCGCAAGAAAATCGTCTCGACAAATAAGAGCTCACTTGAGAAGTGAGCTCTTATTTTGTTTAGTATGCTCCAAACACGGCCAACGTACTCACGTCTCACGAGTAATTGCAAGTTGCAAAAATAACAACCGAAAAAGCAGTATAACGGCCGGAGTCTCTTACTTTTGATAAGTACATAAAGTATAAGTTATATTTTAAGCTTTTAAACTAGTAAATAATATCAAATTAGACAAAATTATCAATTATAAACCAACGCCACCAATGTTTGTGCGTGTGTTGGCGATTCCTTGGCCAAGTCTCGCCAACATTTGTATAAACAGAACAGTGGATGCATGGAGTCGATTTGTATTGAAAAAATAAGAAATTGTATTGTTTGTTGCTCGTTCTTCTCCATAGGAATCTGCACCTTGGAATGAGCAAATAGCTTCACTTTTAAATTTATATTGTTGACGTTCAAAAGTGCCTTCCTGGTATAACTGAAATAAATAATTTTGACTTAGACTTAGACTTTTAATGATAAAGTAAATAAACATATCATACACAAAAACGTACCGCTAATAAAAATTAGTGATGTATACTAAGATCCCGAAATGTTAATTTTCATATTATAAAATTATTTTAGTGTCCAACGCGACTCCATACATACCTCCTGTAGCGAAATTCGAAATTTGAAGAAGCAAAACGAAACAAAACAAAACGATATAGATCGCAAGACAATAATGGAAAAATTATCTTTATTTGTTCGACCTTAAGGTTGAATTCAAACTAGATATTGTATAACTTATGTCTTTTAATTTCTACATGACAGGAGTAAGAAAATACTTTTCTTGTCTTATTGCGCGGTCCGTTCTGTGTTGCTGTTTGTGTATTACCAATGTTGCAAATCGAGAAAAGTATAAAATGTGTGATGTTATGTATATTATATTGAACAGTCGAAATAATTGATTATTCAGTACCCCATTATTATGTTTTTCGACTTACTCACCGACTGAAGCCGCCGCGTCGGTCGCGGGATGCTGCTCACGAATATGAGCCTCTAGCATGGCTTGAAACTCGTCGAGTTCGCCGTTAAATAATTACGTGAGTACCCGGAACAACAAATGAATGACTCTTTAAACTGTCAAACACCAAGCGGTCACCGGTGACCGCAACCTTTTGTTCTATAATTGTGTATACAAAGACGGTACTTAACGAGTTAAAACTCACTAATTTCAACAAAATCGGTACATAAACTTATAGTTTAGACAAACTAGAGAAAAATATATGAGGTTATTAAACGTAGTACTTACCTTATGAGGTACCTTTGAAATCGATTTTGTGATCGAGTGTTTACTGTTATTAACCGACTTGAAATAAAGGAGGTTCTTAGTTTGACCTGGGGCCTTAGTCTGACAATTGTATCAGAATGTTATACAACCTAATAGCTCCGTCCCTCTTGCACTGCTCAGGGATCGACCATTCTGACAGTATTGCATAGCAGATTCAGGCCCCCGTATGTATGTTTGCGGGCAATTATCTCGGCATTGGCTAAACCGATTTTTTAGAGCCTCAGAGGACTTAAAGGATTGCCGGGGCTCCGGCTCGGAGGGCAGGAGTAGGAACGGGGTGGTTTTTGTGAGACTGGAGTATGACACTCCCTCCCGCCTCACCCAGGCGGGAGCAGTCATTCAATGATTTTCCCCCTTAAAAAAAGGTGTCTACTTTAAGCCACGCTGTATACGGCGACACGTGACCACTGTGTCACTTTTCTTTACGAAGAATACCTATAACTTTTAATATAATCAACCACCAGCCATTCCATCCTTCTTCCTTCATAATAAAACTATATTACTATCAATTGACTCACAAGATCACTTGAGAGTAACCTTCATAAAGACAAGAACGTCAACCACCCGAGAACCGATGGTAGCTGTTTATTTAGGACGCCATCTTACATTTCTTTGTCAGCCTCTTTACCTTACTGAATAAAATATTCCAAATATCTTCACTTCTGAACAGCCGAATATTAAAGGGTGTTTGGTGGGAAGTTATTGATATAAAGTGAACGGCTAAAGGCTATATTGGCTATCCTTTAACTTATTAATACCCAGTTGCGAGCCTGAGAGGTTTTTATTAATATTTTTTGAAGGTGTTTCGTACTTACTTTTTACTGCAATGAGGTGAAGTGAGTGTGTGTTAAGGAAAATGAAAAAGTCTTTTGGAGGAGTCCATAAACAATTGCTATAGGGTTAGTATGGAAGGAAAATGCTCCTTATTAATCTGTAATAAAAAATAAGTTCATTGTGTGTAATATAATAATTTAATAATACTTATAATAATAGTTAGGGTCATGATTTTGAAAGGCCTTTATATTTTGCTTTTGTTCTTGTAATCATAACTAATTAATCACATAATACAATAAAGAAGTCGCGGAGAACCTCCGCGCGCGCCGGGGCTCCGACTCGACGTGCAGGAGAAGGAACGGGGTGGTTTTTAGTCAGTAAGAGTCTGACACTCCCTCCCGCCTCACCCAGGCGGGAGCAGTCATCCGATGATATTCCCCCCTTAAAAAAAAAAAGACATTTCTCAAGTAAAAACTAAAATTGATTTAGTTCAGAGAAAATAAACTACACAATAAATGAACGCATCTAAATTGAAATAGTTTATGAAACGTTTCCACCTACTCTTCATTCAAGAGGTACTTCTTCGCAAAAAACATACACTACTTAAAATAATGATAGCGTAATACAGGATGTAAGATAATGTGCTGTCTACTTGTCTAGATGTTCGTCATATCGAATTATCTTGGTATCGGTACATCAGAACTAATTGTTTCATTCAACTTAGTTGCTTATTCGATGCTGATTTACGTCCGGTCACTATTATTTAGCTACATACAAATACATAGCATGATTGCCTCGTTAGTCAGGTGGCTGTAAGTGTGACTGCAGAGCATAGCCAATTTCGGATTCGTTTCCCAGTTATTTTTCTTGCTGTGGCATTGTTTAGTTGGAGCAGTTAGAACTAGAAATTATGACCTTCTAAATAACAGCAAAATTGCAACAGTACCAATTAGAGGTACATTAAAAAGAATAAAAGATGGAATGACTTTCCCAACTTGAACCAAGTAAGCAATTATTGCGAAACTTAAAACCTTCTATTTTATGCAAAAGTATAACTTACCGATAGTTGGTCCTTTCCCGGGTATCACGTAGTTTCATAGCTTACACATTTTTAATCAGCTTCGCAAAGTTCACGAGTGTATCCCGTCTTAGCTCTAATCCTGTGTTATGCATTCGATATTCATTGAATTATCAAAGTCGACTATTAAATCTAGGCATTA